AATGTTGAGTAGAGAGGAGATTTGTACTTGTATAAAGATTAAGGAAAGCTATGCTAGTAAGAATAAAATGAAAATTTTCCTTCGTGCCCTGACATCTCTTTCTTCATTTTTCATTTCAATTTTCATCATGAAGATTTGCAAACTATGTGATACATACCATCAGTTTATAAGCAGAGACTAGTAAGTGATTATTTATTTATTTTTGAGATATTATCTTGCTATGTAGGCCAGGCTGGCCTGGAACTTACAGAGATCTGCCTGCCTCTGCCTCCGAGTGCTGGGACTAAAGGCAAGCGCCACACCACGCTTGCAGGTTTAAGTTTTATGTTCACAGAAAACATACCAAACAACTCAATCTCTATATACACGATTTTATTACAAGAAAATGTGACAAGATAAAATAAGTTTAATTATTAGCATAAACTTCTATAAAGGATGCATCATATAAACACCAGAAGATTAAAAAAAAAGTCCAACCGGGCATGGTGGCGCACACCAGGCGGATCTCTGTGAGCTCAAGGTCTACATAGCGCGTTCCAGGCCAGCTGGGGTCACAGGGAAACCCTGTCTAAGAAAGACCAAAAAACAAAGAAACAAACAAAAACCAAACAAGAATGGAATATACAGAAAATGTGGAATGCCATGAAAAGACCAAATTTATGCATCATAGGCATAGAAGGAGAAGAATCTCAATTAAATGATATTCACCAGATCTTAAACAGATTTAGAAGAAAATCTCCCCAAATTAAGGAAAGACAACCGAAACGAGTGCAAGAATCATATCAGGAACAGCATATCAGAGTAAAAACAGTAAATGTACAGAACAAGGAAAGAACAGTCAAAACTTCAAGAAGAAAACAAGTCACATATAAAGGAAAACCTATCAGAATTACAGCTGATTTTGAATGCAAACTATGACAGCCAGAAGAGCCTGGACCAAAGCACTCCCAGTTTTAAATGGCTGTAGATGCCAACCCATACTACTCTACCCAGCCAAAATGGCTATTATAGCTGAAGGGGAAAGAAAAATCTTCCATGACATAAATAGACTAAAGGAATTCATGTCCACAAAATCAGCCTTTCAGAGAGTTCTGGAAGCAATACAAAGAGCTGAAGAAAGGAATGACTATGCTCAAGGGATTGCAGAAAGAAATTCAATGAAGGTATAACTGTGGAAAGGTTCAGCTATACCAAGAAAGTAAACAGAAATAAAAATGACAGGATTCAATACCCATCTTTCTTTAATAACTTTAAATATTAATGGACTGAACTCCCCAGTCAAAAGACACAGACTATGTGAATGGATTAAGAAACAAAACCCATCTTTTTGTTGTCTGCAAGAAACTCATCTCACTTTCAAGGACAGACACTATCTCAAAATGAAAGGATGGAAAAAATATACCAAGCAAATGAAACTAAGAAAAAAGCAGGCACAGCAATTCTAATATCTGACAAAATAGACTTTAAAAATAATCAGCAAGAGATAAAGAGTGCCACTTCATTCTGATCAAAGGAACAATAAATCAAGAAGATATTACAATCATGAACATATATTCACCAAACTCTGGTGCACCC